GAGCCAAAAACCCCAAACAGAAACGCAGTAAAAAAACTTGGATCTTACAAAATATGCAAAAGAGATCCGCACAACGAATATGGCAATACGCACCTCACGCTCTCAGCTTCCTGAGAAGTGCACACCATCAATGAAGAATAAAGAGCTTCTTGAGAGCGCGCAGCAGCTCGGTATCGTTGGAGCAACAAGCCTGGTGCGTGCATGAGAACTCGTGTAATATTAACGGAAACCAAGTACTCGGTATCTCAACTTTGTGGTTGTTGGCGCATTTTCTCATTTATGGAAAAAATGCACTATTGAGCTCGCCACTAATGTGCTGTCCGTCCGTCTGTCTGCCCGTCCGTGACTTCACGTTTTCGTCGACGAGAAAATGCGCTCTCTGTCACTCACTGCAGTAAGTAATGAGTTAGGTATGTTTTTATTTTGGCAGCAAAAATCTTGAGTTCATTGATGTCGAAATCAGTAAATACGTGACTTGATCATTCTGAATTGCATGGGATCTTCGTGGATAAGGAAATTAATTAAGCACATACAAGTCAATGCTGAAGTTTAATGAAGTCATTTTCATTATTATTATAATTGACAATTGAGGATATTTGTCAATGAAAGCAAACTTTAGAGATTATATAAGTAATATGTTATAAAATGTCATCTCCAAATGTTATTAGGTCGACAAATTCTTTCAAGAACTTGCAGTTCTGAAAAAAGCAATAAACCATTATTAACTACATTCTAGCATACGAGACTATCGGCACAATTAAATGTATACCAAGCCTCGTGAACCAGTGAGGAGCTCATGTCATCTAAGCAAAGAACTCAACCTGAAACAAGAGTTGAGTAGAGTGAAACAACACACAATCAAACGAGCAGCTGTGCACACACCCGCAACTACAAGCCTTGCGTGCACCTCGTGGGCTCTCCTGATACTCAGCTGCATTAAACGAAAAGCGTTATTCATTAAGACTTGGATACATTTTAATCGGAGCTGTGATGGCAAAAGAATTTCAATGTAAAAAGTGTTTAGTCATTTTAGGATTTTAGAATGAGTTTTGTTATGACTTTAAAAAGTGAAGTCGGCACAACAGATATTATTCTTTATTTATTTTATTCTTTTTTTTTTATTTCAGATATTATTCTTTAGCTTTAGATAAATTTTAATCAGAGCCATGATACCATAAAAACCTAATGTTAAATAAGTTCCGTCATTTTAGGATTCCAGAATGACTTCTACTAGGATTTTAGAATATAAGATCAGCATAAACAGATACTGTTTAATTTAAAATATAATAAGAATAAATAAAAGCACCAGATTTCTAAGTTAACATGATAGGAATATAAAGTAATTTGTACATGGATACAAAGACGTGTCTCGATAGCTGATATCTTCGATTTGAAAAGGATTTCGATTTAACGTGAATCCTTGTTCACAAATATTTTGTGAACAAGGTGTAATATAATTCCTAATGGACACGCAGCCAAGACGCAAGCGGTCAAACTTAGAGACGACACCAGAATAAATGGTTTAAAAAACAGAGCTTCATACGATGCCGAATATGGTTGCATTTGTAGGAACCTAATATATATAGTCAGGCGGCAAAGTACGCAAGCCGCCATCGGTCACATTAAAGAACTCGAGCTAATGGTAAAATCAGGCGTGGTATCACACGGTTGCGACGGAAGAGCACGGCTCAAACTCGTGTATAAGCCGGACTAACCAGGCAGGCCCGGACAGCATTACAGAACGAAGCAGACAACCGCAACACCGGATACACACAGCCGGACGCCCTCCCCTCACCTCACGTATACGTGATCCAGGAGCCTTTACGAGCATGATACATACGTACGTACGCATGTAGAAGAAGCCTTGGTTAGAAAGACAGAATACAGAGTGATAACACACTAGCCGTGAAGAAATCATTAGTAGTTAATGTTACAGAATATTGTCGAGGTAATTACGGTCGATCCATAATAAGTTTGAATGAATTCCCTTGAAATGGATCAGAGAATTATCCATTCTCTGAGTTCAATCTCAACTGGAAGTATCTGTCATGACTTATACCTAAAGTGGATCAGAAAATTTAGTTGAAAGAAATAATGAAATTTCGTAATAACGGATGATTCGCGAAATTAAAATAACGTCTCACCAAAACCATGCCATAAAACTATGCGTACTAGAATAAAAGGAATAAATTATAGAAAAAAAGCGATGTTTGAGCAAATACGACAAATGATCGTCACGAAGACCCTCGACTTTCATCATACGCACCACGTTTATGGCGATCGAATTTTTGAAAAGAAGTGGACTTTGTTTGAGAAGTTCCAGTGGACTAGCGAGCTCGTTCAATGGGTTTCGTGCCGACCGGCACAGTTATGCTCACTGAAAGCGGCACCGAACATACAAGCCCAGATTCGCTTTGGTTTTCAAACGAATCTGCTGAATCATAGCCGAGTACGGCATATGGCGCGGCACTGCTCGGCCATGGAAAATTGGTTTTTGAAAGCCGAGAAAATTAGCCACGAAGGTATAAAGCCGCGAGGCAAATTTCCATGTATCCACAAATTTGTGTCAAATGATGTAAAGATAAGTTCATTCATACGAGTCATATTTTAACGGTACATAGTTGACGGATTGTATTCGTTTCATCGAAACGGCAATACATCGACAGCTAAAAGATATGAACGATCTTTCCACTTGAGAATACTCTCGAAATTAATACTTTTTTACAGAGAAGAGAATCGTAGATTTTTTAAAGCAATTACAAGCTGAATGTTAGTTTATCTTGCACGGACCGCAATCCGTAAATTTCACACGACTACTTTCATGCGCAACGCGATGCATGTCACATGCATGTAGTCGTGCAGCAGAACTGCACTGCGCACGACATGAACCTGCACCACAACATTCGTTCCGTTTCCGCAGGTCGTGTGAGCAGCACGTCGCGGCTTCCCACTGCGCGGCCTGCGAGTAAGCGACGGTGTTTCCCACACCTACTCATGAGTGTGCATCACTAATCCCGGAGCTTTCAAGTAAGCTTAATGAAACTTGAGTTCACTTACACTTAAAACTTAACGCGACTCAAGGTCACCTAAACTTAACATGACTCAAGTGCACTTGAACTTAACGCGACTCAAATTCACTTAAACTTACGCTATTCGAGTTCACTCGAACAGCGACTTAAGCTCACTTGAACGTAAGGCTACTCAAACTTGAAGTTCACTTGAACTCAACGCGACTCAAGTTCACTCAAACTCAACGCGACTCAAGTGCATTTAAACTTACAGCGACTCACGTGCACTTTAACTTTAATTAAAATCAACGTTTAAGCCATGTCTGTTGTACGGGTTACTTAGAAACATGTGGATGTGGAGCACCAACAAGTAAACACAATTCTTCTTTTTTTTCAATTAAAATAATTTACAGCAGTGATCATCAACGAGTCTTTCGGCATATAATCTTGCAAAAGGAGGCCGAAAAATTCATATACTTTGAGTTATAATGAAGCGAAAATATTAAGATTTTGAGCTTTTAATTTCGGTCAATTAAATACTTTAGCAACATAGTAACGAGCAAGCTAGACAATCTCAATGGTGTCGCTCACATATTTTCTTCTTTTAGTACGACCAAAAAACCTAACCGAGTTTTCAGGGAGATGACCATGCCAATAAAATTAAAGTTTTATTTAAAAAAACGAGATTGGGGGGGTCCAGAGTCACAGAAATCTAAGAAAAAACCTGCCAGACTACACTAGGCGAAACCCGCCTAACTGGCCCTAAGCTAATGTCAGTAAATTGACAAATAATTACTGGTCTTCTTTATCTCTAGCATCACCTCGCAGATGTTTTCGAGCATCATCGGTCTTTGTCCATATCGAGCCATTTGCAGCACGATTTCAGCTTCCTAAAAGGCAAAGAGTGGAGTCGGGTTTTCGTAACCTTATAAAATTCCCGGACGACACTTGGTATTACTAGCCTGGAACATTACATAAACCTCATAAAGTCAATAGTAACTCTGCAAGACTTTCTATTTTCGTTAATCACGATATCGATTACCTTTTTTAACAGATCAGCGATTTTCTCGGTCGTAAAAACTGCTTCCAAATGATGTGAAAGCATGACAAATAGTTAAAATTATATGTAAACCAGATTTTTCAAAGCAGGAGCTAATAGATGGTAAATTTGAATGATATTAAAAAATTAATTTTAAATGCATTCAGTAAAATTTTCACTGGGCACAAGAGAGTCATGGACGTTAATAAATTGCGCAACCGTCATGAAGCTTCTGAGTATTATAATATTTAAATTATTCTTCAATTTTCACAATGATTGAGGACACAGTATAATTTGCCTAGCTGTTATTTAACGAGTTCAAGGACAGTTATTAGCATAGTGTTGAAGTGACTTTTTTTAGACTCTTCCTCAAATTCAATTTAGAGTCGTATAAAGTATAAGTAGACTAGCAAAGTATCATGGATACCACTTACCAGCATTATCATATCATACAATTTGTTTAAATCTGGAGTAGATGAGAAACTTAAAAATGAACTGATTCTAAAAAATCTCTGCTTTGACACTATATTTATAGGAAATCTAAATCTACTTCAATTAATGACCGTCGATGGCGTAGTAGTCGTGACAGAAAAATTAGGTATGTCAGTAATAATGTCACCAGCAGCAGTAAGAAACGACGTACCGTAGGTGTCATATCAATCATCGGTTTGAACAGAATATAAAATTTCTAGTAACATGAATACCGATTTAGAATAATTTTTTACCAATAAGGTAAAAAATTATTCCTGATAAGTATTGAATCATTTCAGTAGGTATATGAGGCAATGAGGGAAGTTGAAGTGTAGGAAATAAGCCTTTAAGGGTGGCGTTATCATTCAGGATTATGTTCAACTTTCAATTTCAATTCAATTATAGTTACCAAATTTGTACGAGGTGGGAATCTAGAAATAGATATTAAATTGCAGTAATTCCATTATCAATATTATACTCACCCTAATTAGGAGACTTCATCATGGTTGAGAAAAAAAATTCACATCAATCTGAATATGAGAATTGAGTTCAATCTTATTTCATGCGAACAGTCTATATAAATGATCAAAAAAGGAACATGGATATTACAAAATTCACTGCACATTAATCTATCCTGTCCCTGAATCACGTCATGTGTGGAGAAACACGGAGCGTTGTTTCGATTACTCCATAGTCAAGTTCATCTGTACCCAAGTAGACTACCTAGAACAGCTGAATCAACGAGCGACCTGAGCATACAATACAGATCTGCCGCCAACCTCACTCTGCAACGCCTGTAACGAAACTGAGCAATTGTGAGCGATTTGTAAGGACTATGGAGTGAAGTTTCTTCCACTGGGAACGATGATCTGCTTTTTTAAAATACGACTTGATTTACGGAGAATGCCATTGGAAACGCTCTTAATTAACAATGATGCAGCAGTTACTGCGATTTTATTTCCATCACGAGCCTAAATATAAAAAGAAATGCTGATTCAACTATTTAAACATCATCTGTTTATGTAGCAGCTGGACCGACCAGCAGACAGCGATGGGAAGCTACCAGAGCTCGCCATTTAGTTAAATTGGAGCTTCATGTTGAGTTTTAAATGATTTAAATTCGACTATTTGATTGGCAGAAACTGTGTTATTGATAGTTTTAATTCACATTTCAATAATGATGGTATTGAACAATTTTAGAGATTGCTTTTGTTAGATAAAAGTCGAATAAAATCTGACAATTTTAGCATCAGCTGACTGAAGCTAACAGGTGAACGGCACGAGCTAGGCGCTCAGGGGTTCAGGGGGCGAACAAGGCATCCTAAACTGCAAACTCACTGTTAAGCTGTGGCATACACTCATCAGTCGGAGGATCAGCAATCATGCTGATAAGCATCACTAGCACCATCAATTTGCCGATGTAGGAGCCAAAGAAGGAAAGCTACATGACGTGATCTTTGCAGAAAAATATGAGTTTCATGGCATTTAAATACCATTTTGAAGGGTTGGTTTTCGAAGTTCAATTAGTATATACTAGGGGTAACGGTCAACCAAAAATTTGCCTTCCATTCTATATCATATTAGTAGTGAAAAAACTTTAATCCATTGTAAATGAGTATGAAAACTGAATATTCCTTAAAGACGAATTTTCGTTTGAACGGAATGAAGGAATCATTCAATGCAACGAATGGGCATGAGACCCAAAAAGCGTTCGCCCATTAATCAAACGTTAAATATTCATTATTTATGCTCGGCTAACTAGATCTAATCCTATTTTCTTCGTTTAAGTTTACAACGAACGAAGAATTTCGTTAGTGCTCATTTGATATTTACATGGATTCTGTCTCCAGAGAAACAGGATATCGACAAGATAAAGGGAACACGAAAGGTTAAGCGATAAAGATCTTTCGCATGCATGGCTAATCGGAATTCTGTGTAATATTATCTATCTCATCAAAATTTCGTTCTCACTTCTGATGGTGGGTTTACTTTCGGTCCTGTCTTACTGAGTATGAAAAATAATGCTCTCAAATAATACTGAAAACAGCTCGCTCTCGCACGTCACGGCATCCTCAAAAAAATATTAATAAAATAATAATATGTAGCACATTGAAATTATTCTAAATGTTCAACAATTTCAACTAAACGTGTTATGTTAATGGGTTTTTCAGTGATGGGTTCGAGCTTATAGCTGTAGATTGAATCTAGACACTTCTATTTCCTAAATAAATAAATAAAATAAATTTCACTGCAATCTTCGGAAATGCTACACGATTTCGTAACTTCGTTGGAACCGAGAAGCAGCAACCGGACAAGACAGACCGGTGGCTATTCATCTTCTTACGGTCTCTCATGGCTGCAATGACGAAACCCTGACCAGACCAAAGCTTAGGGTTACTAAATGTGCAACGTACATTCAATAGGCAATCAGTCTCCATTTGTTGTCTAATCTTGGTAATGCCAAATATCGTGAATTCAAAATCAGTATTGATGCTATAATCAAGTCTTCGTAACAGTCCAAGATATTATAAAGTACTGGAGCTATCAGTAGGTCGCGAGAACCTTAAGCAGTGAACAACAATAATATAGCACTCCGAAACAACATAGTTTACTGATTATATTGAAGCCACTAAGCTAAATTAAAAGGGGCAAATATTTCCATTGTTGATATGATAATTATTATTAAACAACATGAGTTTTTACAGAAGGGCCCTAGACGTATAGCTGCTAAATGGACATAATTATGTTGGGTGAACTGGCGTTTTTCAAAGTCTACATGGATGGCGACTTTGATAAAAGCTGGATTCTCTTGAGTAAATAACAATTTCACCGATCTCGCTCAAATTTCGCTGCTAGAACGACCGAACTTTTTGTCGGATAACATAATCCGATAGAGCTTCCACCGCCGCACAGGATGGAAGGACTTGCCGCGTCTGCCCCAAGGGGGGCAACCGACCGTAAAACGAGCGTGAACAGGAAGCTACAGCTACTGCTACTTCCGCTGCTGCTACTTCCTCTCTGTATCCATGACGTGTAATCATCGTTCAATGTGATCAACGGCTTTTGTTCTAAAGTTTCAGTTCTCAGACACAGTAAACATGCATGTACGGATACAACATAAATGCGCGTACGAACAATATAATCCTAAAAGATCCTCTGCAATTTTGACGTAATGTTCCATGCCAAATAAATAATGAATGGATAATTTAATGATTCTTATCAAGATGGTCTGCGTTCGATTACTTTCATGGAAGTCAGAACTTAAACCAATTGTTTTTGGTTTGTTGGAAAATATGAAATCATAGCCTGGTCAAAAACACTAAGCGATTGGCTAAACTCAACGCATAATTTGGAGGCTCAGCAATTGAGAAAAAATATAATTAATAATTCACCAGAGAGCTCCTCTATAACGCCCAACTTACACGTAGCAGGAAATAGAAAAGTTATACATTAATGACGCACAGGTTTGCAGTAGCCTACTGCCAAGGTCAGACGAAGCCTGATCAGTGATGGTTCGAGTCGTGTTCAGATCGATATTCTGTTGCGTGGTTCAGAATTGTTCTCAAAAATCATGTCACAAATTTTTAAAACGTAATTCATCTGTGATCCTTCAAAAGAAAAAGGACTGGTAACGGTTGAACAATTTTATGAGAATTATTTGATTAAAATTACTCTAGTGTATTTTATTTCCGAACACACATCTAACAGAGGAGAGAAGGTAAATGAAAAAAATTAATACTGCTCTACTTTTTATTAGCGTTCAATGTAATGGTTCAACAATTTGTTACACCCCAATGTAACAGCAAAATCTATATTTTATAACATGAAAAAATATCTATCATATGTGATCGCATATTCGTTCTTAGGTTCTTGAGAAACATCTGTTGAGTAAAATTTCCCTTTATTTAGCCGGCAGTCTCAACAGACATGTGATCATTGCTAACGAAAATATAGCAGCATTGCTTCTTGCACTCGATTGCCACATACACCTATAAACAGGTAACCTGGTGCAGGTAAGGCTGTATAGACGGTTGGTGTGGGTAGGTATAGGTTGGCAGGTATAGGCCTGACGCAACGCTCAGGGTGGTCCATTTGAAAGAAAGTGCGCCTCCAGAGCCTGGCTGGCACAAGTCAGGCTGGCCTCGAAGCCGTCAAGCATGGACACCCTTCAGCCTCACCCACGGATTGTCTTGACTGCGACGTCGTTTATATACCATAAACACTATTTGAATCATGAAAAGGTTTTTCATGTTTTTGCTTTTTATTGGTATAGCAAAAATTTTTGGAAATCCGTAATCATTCACATGAACATGGCTAACGTCACCTTTATACTCAGAGTCGGTCAAAATGCTGCCCGATTTTGCATGTTTGCTCTTTGCTGACGTTGCTCACTACTTTTAAAAACAGTAAGCTTAGTTCAAAACCAGTTAACTCAAAATGAATTAAAATATGAAAGGAAATACGACACAATTCAGGCGAATGTCAGAACACAAGTAGCAATAATCTATCCATTCAATAACAGAAGCGGGTTTTGGTAGTAAGTTGAGATACTTTTTAACACGCCCGCAATAATAAATTTCTAGTTTATTGTCGAAAGCGGTTGGAAGAAGCTGAAAGTGGTCGATTCTCGAACCGGTCAAGATACGTTGTCGCAAAGTACCTTGATCTCCCTCCGGCTCCTCAGGCACGACTTTATTATTAGCTGATGTTGGAGATAAAGACAGCCCCTTCGCAATATTTATTTACTACACATATATTACTTCTAGCTCAGATCATGAGAGCTTCTATGAACAAAACGAATGATTCTTTCGTGTTCTTCTCCAATATCAGTCATGCCAATAAACTGCGTCTGTGAGGCTCTTAGTAACTTTATTGAATTTCATCCTGAAAGAACATACAGTATGTAAGGAACTACCAAATTAAATGGGTTCTTGCGGACAATTTTTGCATCACCATAGAATGGCCTAGTCGCAGCGAGGTGTGCAGCAGCTTTTTATCGCCTCTTCATTCACAAATCGCTGGACGGGCTGGCGAAAGTATGGTCGAGTGAAGCAAACCTTTCATAACCACACGCATGTACGGCTTTGTACGCATATACAATTTTTACGCTTAGGACAAATATCAGTTGAGTAAATAGCATCAAACCGTGACTTCGATTATATTTGTAGTTCTGAAATCATGCTCGAAAAAGATTAAAATCATGAAAATGTGACTGCTTTGAAGAATACTTTTCCGATCACTTAATGAAACAACGACCTTAATTTGACGGTCAACGAACAAAAAACATTCATAAGATGAAACGGGCAATACGATATAAAATTTAATATCAAATGCGACAGAAACTTTTCTAGAAATATATTCGCAGATGTTCCAGCTAGCTATCTTATTAATAATTGAATGCACTCACGCAAATGGTGGTCATGTTTATTCAAAAGGAATTATTTCCCGACGCAGTCTATATTTTTAGCTTCGTAATGGTACATCAAGTGGCATGATACACAAAAGCTAGGCCTCTGTGACAGTCAGTTGCGGGTGTACGTCCAGAAAGACTGCCTATACAGCCTATGTAAGATTCGTACTCTTGAAACAAGTCTGTCTCCCGAGACTGGAAGCAAGAGCCTATCCAGGATCAGCGGCACCGGCCAAGCAACATATTATGCAGTAACACGATCTGATAAAAGCCGTTACCTGTAACAACAGCAGCAGGGGTAGGTAGTAGAAGATTTAACTCTTTCTTGCAGGACCAGGCTGTGTTTGCTGGGTAAACCAGTCTTGCTCTTCGGTCGCTGTACCTTCGTTTTTTTTGCGATCGAGCGTGTGAGTGGGCAGCGTTATCGTCGTGCACGACGACTGCTTAAACTTTCCCCTAGGCTGCATCAAGAGTCGAAGGCCCACGCTTGCTTTCTTCAATCGAATCCTCCGAATACTTAACTTTCTGATCGATGGTCCCGACTCTGTGCGAAGGCGGCACGCGCTCGAAAGGCTACCAACAACTTGAACGCTAATCTCGTGAGATGTAAATGAGTAGAAAGTTATTCATAAAAAGTGTACCTGTAAAACAAACACCGCTTTTTAATACGCGGAGTAATATTTTAATGAGGAATTATTTTTACTTATTTATTACTTTAGAGATGGAATATTTATAAAGCTAAGCATATATCAGGGTGCAAAGAGAGAAAAAAAAAGAATAACAGGTATAATGCATGACCCAAATTATCAGTGAATGAAAATAATTTAATTTTTGAGGCTTTGAGAATAATATTGAAAAATATAGTAATGTTCTCACAACAATATGCGAATTAAAAATCTAATCATGTATAAAGCTGGACGTTTTATTGGTTTCCTATTTTCCATAGTCTCTGGGAAATAAGTATCCGTATGCCATTGAATAAATAGATTTAAAATTATCGAGAGGAACAGAATATCTCTGTGCAAGTCCCAGCATAATTTATTAAATTGAATGCTCCTGAGAAACACGTGGGAAACTTCTTTTTATTTGAATGCGCAGTTCCCGAAATAATTATGATTCCGCGTTGATGCATCCAACCAATTTCCGCTGGTCACTGACCGCGCGTTCTCTTCACGGGAGGTCCGTTCAATGTTTCTCAGAATACCTATAACGGTTTCTGCTAAAAACTCAAAACTCAGCACGAAAAAATATGATTAACAAAATTATAACAATACCTATGAATTGTCAAGAGATTTCTCATGAAATTATGATGAAATGGCAACACATTCAATTATTTTTTTGCACGATAAATAATCTATTTTCTACATTTCTGTAAATGAAGACAGAATGAAACGCTTGGGTTGTCATTAACATTTGCGCTTGTTACCGAGTGCGCATAAAAGCTTCCCGACGATCACTACAAGGAAATTTCCTCTGTGAAACAGACAACCAACACACATTAGAATTGGAGATTTCATGGAACTCAGAACATTCCCAAGTTGTAGTGCCAGTAGTGGTAATACAAAATAGCGTTAAGACAAACGCTCGCATAACTTTATATTCCTTTGGAAGCATATCTCTGAAGTAAGGTATCTTTCGAACGTATCTCAGAAACTCGTTATAATAGCACGCAGTGAGTTTAGAGAGGGAGCGACTGAGAGGGCAGACTGAGACGGAGGCTGGACACCTACTTTCACATGACCTGACTTGACCTGATATAACGTACGTCGTGGTATACCCTCTCAGCTTCCCTTCCCGCCATCCCTGTAGGGTTGTTGCACCTCCTTGTCTTCCCTCGATCTGGGCATGAAAGGGTTACTTCACTTCCCTCGACTTGAAATAGAAATTTTATGACTTATTTTCTATCCGAAACGATCATAATCTTCTCTTGATTGTGAATTACCGAAATCTTCTCATTCATGATCGTGTTCTCCGCGGAATTTCTAACTCGCAATCAGCGAGGGAATATTTTATTACCAACTTTTGTTTCCTATAAAAATGTTTGAACTTCAGAACAAAAATAAAATTATTTTAATCATGCTAAACGAAGGCGTCTTAGTGTTATCATTATCGTGAATGAATGATTAGGTCATGAACGGCACGAAACCCGAAGAAGGAGCATGAGCTCACACCGCTGATGATGTCATCGCTGTCGATCGGAGAGCAAGCAGCGTCTGTGACTTCGGTACATGGGAACTGCCGGGCAAACTCTTACCTCTTAATTCAAGACTTCAACACTCCTTTGGGAAGAACAACCACAAATGAAGAGTGCGAGGAGAAATCAACGATGGACACGATAAACAAATAATTCACAACTGTTTTCTATGCTGAATTGTAATAGCAATGAAAAATTTCATTTAAAAACGCAGAAAAGTTAAACGTAGTAATTAAATAACTCTTTCAACATGGACATTAATTACTGAATTTGATAAAGTAAGGTGATGAATGAATACTATATGCATTTTGAATGAATGTATGAAAACGGACAAGATCAGAAATGATTCTGATCATAAATTTGAATTCAAGCATTTAATGGATATCCATTGATATCAAAAAATTTTCAACTCCAGCATGAACGATAATACATTTATTAACATTTTACCGCGTGGGAACTCGAAATTTTCCTCAGATCTGAAAGTGGATGCGAGACGGGCACATGGGAAGGGGCTCCTGAGAGGAGCGGGCTCTCGAGCATGTACGAGCTTTCTTCAGGTCCGTGCTGGTGATCAAGAGCCTAACTGTGTTTAGACTTGAGCGAGACGGGCGAGCTTTCACCGCACGATCTCCGCAGAATTCAGCAGTCACTCAGCCGCTTCGATCGCTGACACGAGTTGTATGATGGGCGCAGAACCAAAGGAGCCACTCCCCACCACGAAAATGACGTCAGAATAACGTTAATTACGTTCAGACTACATTGAAATATTGTTTAATTCACATTTATTCAACGTCAGGTGCCTGCTGGGTCAGCAACTTCGATTGGTAATACCAGCTATTAAGCTTTGTAAATGTATCAGCTTCGTCTATCAGCCCCGTCAACAAATTCGTTCACTGATACCAGCGAAGACGGTTATATACGTCGCAATAATACGTCATGTTCACACGGTTATACGTCGTAGTAATACGTCATGTTCGTTTAATCAAAAGGTCAATTGATCTATTAAGCGAGTCATTACGCCAGCAAATTATTTGCAGATCGACATGACGATGCAATGGCAAACATGAATCCTGGCCCCAGCTTGCTGTTCATGTAGGGTGAGTTGGCCATATGTGTGGCTCGGTTTCACTTTCAAATGGCAGACAGCTCGCCTCCATCCTCGATTCTAGCTTGCTCCATCCGCACAAAGAAGAGAACACACGCTCACCTTTGTAACAAATCAATAAAAAGTTAAACTAAACTCATAAAAATTCTTGAAAGACATGTATGATTTGCAATAGGTAAAGTCTTAGTCGGCTAAATCTTGGTTCGAACATAACTAAGTTTTACGTTCTATCTCAGTACTACGTCGCGATCAACTCAAACGCTCTAAACTCGATGAATAATTAAATTGATTTTAGTCTTTCACACCTCAGTAGCACGATCGATGTGCAACGAAAAATATTTTGTTCAATAATAATTCCACAAACTTTACGCAACGAAAGCAGCGGTCACGCCAAATCCTTACCAGAGAAGAAGTTAATAAATTGGTTCAGGCAGAAAAAAAAACATGAAAAAACAGCAAGTACACAGTAATTAACATATTTTAATGGTTTAACGCAGCTTCCAAACTACTATGCCATGTGCCTCGTTTACTTTCGAAAACAAAAAAATATCGTAATGCTTTTTCCCGTTCTCATCAACGTAACCTATTCACGGGGAAAGTTATATTAAACCTATTATATTAAATAATATAATTTTTATTACTATACTATTATATAATAAAACATTTTATTAAAATAATATTAAACCTATTATTATCGAAAATCTCCGCCTCGAACGACGTTTAGATGAACCCAATAATGTAATTTTAAAAATATGCAAACACTACTCGATCACTCCACTTAAAGTACTAACGTCATTTTACCATTTTAGTGAACCTATAAAATCAATAACATCTAACTTTGTGATAAGCCATATTGGTGCTCAGCGATCAATTTTATTTATTTTTTCATGTTATTCGGACTGGGGGCTAAGAATTCCGAGCGTAAATTCGTTCTCGTGGGGAAGAGAGGCGTAAACACGTACACTGATAACGTGTTCAATTGTTCATCTTACAACGAACATGGGATGCACGTATTGTGTCAATCATACGTGCTGACAACGCTTTCCTCTTACGACGTACGTGTAATGCACGTCTTGAGTCAGTCATACGTGCTGGTGATGCTTCCCTCATACGACGCACGTGTAATGCACGTCTTCACTGTGTAATTATATATTATACAGAACATAAAAATATGGCTATGATGGCATATATTAGCTGGGTCGCACAACATAGGCCGTACCAGCGCCACTCTTTGGTTCATCAAGCCCGTCAACTATGTATGAATCTACTTGATAAAATATCAACGCTTGATAGTATTACAAAAATATTACACATAATGGTTATGTGGCCTGCAGCGCTCGTCATCAACAGACTGATTTCGTTTTTCACAGACTGCGCTCTTCATAAACAGACTGATTATGTGGTAGGCGCTCTTCGTCAACAGACTGATTATACGATACGCGCTCGTCATCAACAGACTGATTTCGTTTTTCACAGACTGCGCTCTTCATGAACAGGCTGATTATGCGGCACACGCTCTTCATCAACAGACTGATTATACGGTCCGCGCTCTTCATCAACAGACTGATTATACGGCCCGCGCTCTTCATCAACAGACTGATTATACGGCCCGCGCTCTTCATCAACAGACTGATCATACGACACGTGCTCTTCATCAACAGACTGATTGTACGGCCCGCGCTCCTCATCAACAGACTGATTATGCGGCACGCGCTCTTCATCAACAGACTGATTATACGGCACACGCTCTTCATCAACAGACTGATTATACGACACGCGCTCTCCATCAACAGACTGATTATACGAAAAGCGCTCTTCATCAACAGACTGATTATGCTGTCCACGCTCTTCATCAACAGACTGATTATACGGCCCGCGCTCTTCATCAACAGACTGATCATACGACACGTGCTCTTCATCAACAGACTGATTATACGACACGCGCTCTTCATGAACAGACTGATTATGCGGCCCGCGTTCTTCATCGTTTCTGTTATGTAATCCTCCGTGGGAAAAAAAGTTAGGTAAGCCATATAGGATACATAACTTTTCAAAAATGCATCGTTAGAGGAACAGATAAATACGTTAGTATTCATGATACCAAGCTCAAGAGGAATGCAAGTAATTCGATCGCATTTGGTATACCCGTAGCTCAAATCTAAAGCAGCAACGGGAAACTCCAAGAAATAACCTGCGTATAGTACAGATTTGGATGATACAGCTCAAGCACGTAAATCAACATATTTAATCTAGCTACAAATAAAAGGTACAATACGCTAAATAAATTCTAAGTCAAATTAATGTCCGAGGTTCAGTTCAAACTTTTTCTAGCAGTCGAGCTCATTTTCAAAGATCATCATGTCGTAGAACCGCGTGGATGTGTATACGAGTGCGTGTACGCAGTCATCTTTTCGAAAATTGGTCCACGAACATTATGCCGACACGGCGCTCAGGAATATCGTTCTCCATAACCGGTTCATTTAGAAAATTCTCAGCGTGTCTTACGAGACGGTGAAGCTGCAAAACACAAAAAAACATATAAAAAGCGATTGCTAATCACGCGTTTCAGATCGCTAATTGTTCAAGTCCGACCTCATGACCTACCAAGCCATTGTTCAGCCCCAACAATGGATAAGATTGTATTCCAAAAACTTTGCTTGCGCCAACGAAGCCTAATGAGAATATAGTTGACTGGTAAGTAGTCTCAATAAAAGCGTGTAGGACATTCTTAACAGTTGGGTTGCGATTGACCCTTTCAAGTGTACGCTAAGAATAAAACGTTTGACATTGGCATCTAAAGTACAGTTTAACATGACATCGAATGCAATGGTATGAGCATGGTATACCATTTAATGTATTTTTATCAGCACGTAGAACAAAAGTATGTATGGAAGCGGTTTAGGCGCCTGATGATTTTCTATTCGCAAACATTCAAGTTATACATTTTAAATTTATCAAGAACGTCGCTAGGCGCGTCATAGAATAGAATAGAAGTGTCGGCATTGAAGAAAACAAGCCCATGGCTCGTTCCTTTCAAGTATACTTTATTAGTCAAGACTCAAATGAGAGGCACGATGCACCATTGTAAATTATTTGATAAGGAATAAAGACAAAATTCTTATCACATAGTGAGCAGTAAGTAGAGTGAATAACGACTGTCCTAGCCAAATCGAGATGCACATTTTAAAGGAGAAAAGTAATAACTGTCGAATAAATTTAGTAGGTTTGCATATATCATCGTCATCTGTCTGACAACTCCTAGAACTGACACCAGTAATTATGCATATGGTAAATTAATGCACATGCACGGTCGCCGCTATCCATTGATGAAAGCACGTTCGCTGGGTTTCAATGAACAAGAGAATATGCAACAAAAACCTGGCGTGCTCCTCGCCATTTCTTTAGTCTGTTGCAAGTTCAAACATAATCGGCATTTAGTTGGAGGCAGTAAAAAATGCCAACGGATCATGCAGAGTTGAGAAAAGCGCTTCTCTGGTCCAAGCGACGCTCCGCATGAGTGAGCACCTCAGGCGCAGACGATTTATTTGGAGTTCGTGGCTTTGCCGCGATTGTACAAGTGAAACCTAACTAGCTTGATTTGAATAGCTTACCTAATGTTGCACGTGCTCTTAAATTATAGAATCTTATTTAATATATAAACATAGCAAATAGAAAAAAATAATATATATTAATATATTAGTTGAATAAAAAAGTTGCGCTCAACAAAAAACACGGAAACTTTACATGCGTTCAACAAAATTTTCGTTGACGGCATTAGCTTTCATCCATTAATAAAACTAATGTACCTGGACTTTTTTATGACAGTAAACTGAATGAATAAATAATAGATAAGATGCAACGAAGTTGATAACTCGTGGCGCAGATTGAACAACGCAAAAACTAATATTTGGTCGTAGGCAAGAAAAAAACAAAGCAAAGGACGCACCCTAGGTTGCTGTTGCGTTCTGTTGAAAGTTGTCGAGTTGAGGCTGGGGTTGAAGACGCAGTGTGGATCTGGATGTACGTTGATTGATCGCTGGAAAACAAAACGGCTAAGCGTCTGATAACTCAAGAAGGTATTAATACAAACAGAATGTGTAACTGTACATAGTTCATGTATTAACAATGCGCACTAATATACAGCGCAAATCTCGAGGGTTGCAGAGAGAGCAGCAGCAACATAGCCCAGTAACCTAAGCCATGAAGCTTCCTGCCCCACCCTTTTGGTGTGGCCTAACCTAGACCTGGGCTGCGGCGCACGTCAAAGGAAGGGAGGATTGTTCAATGCCCTGCATTGTGCGCGCTTTTGCTTAGTTGCTTTGCTTAACTGAAGTGTAAGCCGTTGTAGATATGAGGCGTCTGGTTAACGTGTACCAGCCGGGTAAATTTTACCCAAAAAGAAACGACAAGCTTTGCTAAACGACTGCTGCACAAGAATAGACTTCTGAAATCGGCACAGCAGGAGCTGCCGCTTTCATCCAGCCAGCGTATAACATTTAATTAGCGGCATCGGTAAAACAGAAAAGTTTATATTTATTTATTGCTTGACCACAGGCATGTAATGTGAATTATTTCATCAAGAAAAGGTTCTATCAGTAACGTAAGACAAAGTTGAAAAATGTCATATTGATCAATGAAAGAATTTGAACAGCTTCTTCCAATTATTGATAAGAACCAACTATATTTCAGGGAAGTTATGACGTCTGAAGAAGAACCAGAAATATGAATATGAACTTTCACTCCTAGAGAAGGACCAAAAATATGATGGTATTGAGTTCAAGTACATTGATCGAGAAACTCTCGAGTCGCTTAAGACTGTGGGATGAACTTGTGATGTCAGGTCAGACATGGTAGTCAAGTCAAGGTTAAGTTTGCATAAGCTTCTTTCGAGCTCCCTCGGCCCACGAGTTTATAGGTCATTATCACAGAAGTCAAAGGGGAAGGTCTTCAAATCGCACTCAACGTATACACATTCTATAACATTCATTTATAATAGTGAATGCCTACCGGAGTAACGAGAAATGACTGAATGGACAGGTAACGAAGCACGTACGACTAACAATCGGCGTGATTTCAACGAGTTGAACGCAAATAGCTAGCTGTGTCGTGAATTTTATGTTCGATTACAAACGACGATCTCGGGTTGAATAGCAGCTCGTGAAGTAGGCACGACAGAATCAGAAATAGTTTTCAATGCACGACTCGGAGCTGGATTTGTTATAAAACAATTAATAGCTTCATGTACGAGGGACGAATGAAATTGAATGGTTGTTTAGTGTTAGTTTTTCTGATAAAATTCCATTCGTAATTTTTCCGTCAGAAAAATATGCCTTAGCTCGGATTAGATGTTGCGGAAAATTTCTGGAACACAACAATCAATTCAGAGTTTTACAATAAAATATGATTGTTGATTTTACTTCAGTAATATTTTTTTCCACTGTTACATTTGAATTCAACTAATAAACTATATATTGAGAATATAATTTTTTCCTTGAAACTGTTATCTACAAGTGCTTGGCAAATCAGCACAGACGCAGTTATTTGTACTGTTTGAAAATCCTCTTACACATGATGTGTTGCAGCTTGAGTCAGTTGATCATCGTTGAGTTCAGGCGTGGGAGTAGCTGTAGGATAGAAAAACTCAGGAATTAAAAAAGCGAAGAGGTTATTGGCCACGCCTGCCGAACTTACTTGAGGCAGGCTGTGCCCCTCCGTTTTTCCACTCATCTGAATTTGTTACAGAGCCATGCTCTCCTCCTCGCTCCGCTGAGCAATCAAAATACACCATCAGATAAACATGGTTTATACACAATTGGTCCGGGTTAATTTTCCGGTTCTGCTTGCAGATCATCCGACGCCATCCGGCTTTTGAGAACAGAACTGCCAACCCACAGATTGAGTGCGCGAGAAGCTGGAAGAGAATCAGTCGTCTGAGGGTGGTTAGGTATGACCCTTTCTGACCTCCGTGCACGACTGCACTGCTGCTTCGCACCGAACCTTGTTAAACTAATCTCTCATGATTCTATCTATGATGTCTACCACTATGTTTCTTTCACAGTGCAGTAAATAGAATAAAAATTAACCAATTAGTTCCTTTTTCAGTTGGTTGAACATAGTTAATGACACGGCAAAGAACCGAATTTCGTTCATAAAAACGTGCACTTTATCGTTACACAGATGCTACAAAAATTTATACTTTGAAGAGAAACATTATAACGATCAACGGCATTATTTCTTTCAATGGTCGATCAAAGCCTTATTTTTCCGATTGTCGATCGAAGTTGTACTCTTCCAATGAGCAATAGTATACTGAATTCAAAATTTGCAATTGTCACTCGAAATCGAATTTTCTCAATAGTGGATCAGTTTAGTTCATATGTGATCAGGTATAACCCGCATGAAATTGGATTTTGAAAGGCGTAAGTCGATTGAGCTACGCAGGCATCATCACTTGCTCGTGGAAGTGAGCACGAGTATCACCGCTGCGCAAGTGCGCATTAATTGAAAAATATAGTTTGGGCATTGCTTCACGCTCTCAACGGCTACACACTGAATGTTGCACGAAACTATTCACCGTTGTACCCAAAGCAGAGTCGAGCTTCAGAAATAATTCTCGCCAAAATTGTTATTTCATAGAAAAAGAGCGATAATATACGAGCAACACACAACAAAAATATTAACGCCCTATCTTTTCTAAAGACTTCGAAGTATAGCAGCACACTTTTATCTCGGTTACGGAAAAGTTGAGGGAAACGTCGTCGCCATGTTATTATAATGATTAATATACGGATAGCCCTAAACATTCTGAAAGCCATCAGCGCCATTATGATAAATTACACGCTACAACCTTAGTTACTCATAATACCTGCACGAATTTGAAGATAACAAATCATAATTCATCTAATTTAAAATGCTAGAAATTTGCCGAAAACGGTTTATATCGTTTATAACTGTATATGAAGTGTATCATTTTATTCTGAATTAAATAGAAAATGTAAGCATTAGATGTTGAGATGTTGATTCTGAACGCAGCCTGATTGTTCAAGAGTTTTTTTTTTTTGAAGATAAATTACGAGCAGACAATTCCAAGATAGGCTTAATTACGGCGGAAATTCCATCCCTGAGTGTCGCGAGTCGCGACCATTGCTCAGCTGACACAGCTAACTGCCTGCCCGATGGGTGATGTTCTTCAATAGCTAGTACCTATTAACCGATGGTAAATTTCTATACCAACGATAACAACAGATTCATTAAAAACTGCATAGGTAACAATAACATTAATTTCACTGGTTGAAGAGCAGTCAACTTTCTATAAGCAAAGCAGTGCTCTCTTTCAAATCAGAAATTGGAATTCGCATTCGACGGACATGCCACAAATGCCGAGCATCGAACAAGTTTTTTGACGACATCCAGTACCTCATGGCTTATAAATTTAGCATTGAAAAATTGTGCCAAGTGATGACCAACGAAACAATGATGGTTTATGTTCTCATAATTAAATGTATATCCTACCCAAAATTGCGCGAGATCGTTGGGTGAGTCAGAAGAAGAGATATCGAGAGTGGGGTTCCAAGCAGCGCCATTATCAGTGTAAGTTCACAGATCAGGGTCGCGGTGGAGGTCCGAGCTAATCGTAATGCTCGCTTTGCAACGCCTATCCTCATTTGAAGGTCAAATTAGACTAGATGGTCACAATCGTAGCGTCAGTTGCAGTCACTGCACCACGTAAAGGTCATGATGCACTTGCTCAACAGATGGTGTTCAAACTCCGGGTGAATTTGGTTACATTTCCGCAATCCTACGGATCACAAACACAGAAAATTGTCCGAGTCTCTGTTTGGACTGAACTTGATAGGAAAACGATGACCAGATAACTACTGAATAATATCGCAGATATTACCCTTGCACTAAGTGATAAAGAAAGATTGATGTATAACAAACAACCGAGTACGCGACGTAAGTATTAAGAATGGAGATGAGAACCCATAATTGCAATTTATTAGGAATAATTGAGAAGGAACATAAACACAAATTTTATACTCCCAACACAATACAAAACAATTAATGGTAAATATTATTTGTGTGGGTTACTACGTATAAGTCAGGCTTACAATAAGATCACAGATTACTGAGACCCACAAGTCTGTAACTAAGATATTAGAGGTGAGAAATAGTCAAAAGAACGTTAAGATTATTTTAAGATTAACTAAGATATTATAGGGGGAAATATTCAAATAGGCGCTAATGTTATGTAAGAATATCTAAGAAATATGTGGATAAACAATTCAAATAAAGGTAAGACTTATTTCACGATCATTTCAGAGTATTGTAGTGTTAAGTGCGTGACTTTCTCCGTACGCATTGCAAATCAAAAGTGCAGATGTATCATACCGAAGAAATTCGCTGGGCGACTTTATATAAATCAATAATAACATACGGCGAACATTTCTATGAGATTTTCAGGCATTCTGAATTTGTACATAAAATTTTTTCAGGTCAATACTTTGAGCTAGTTGAACGCAGACTCCATTATGCGAATGGACTAACCAATTACATCACCGATCCTATTGGTACAAGCACACAGCTATGACACGCACGGAAAACGCCACATTTAAATGTAACAAGCAAAGGAAAACAGTGTGATTTACTTTACTAACTTAATGGCTTATAAGATTCACTAAGACACTAACTATCGACCAATAGGTCACATGAGGGCGCTAAATTATGATATGAACTAACTAATCTAATAAGCAACAGAACTGAAACAGTGCAGCTTTTGACTAGATATCCCATAATAGCAAGCCGAGGCACGGCGGCGTCCATATCACAATTTTTAAGCCTTGTTAATATAAACACACTAATACTAAAATCTAGAGGCAAGTGTTTTTTCCGTAATTAATTTGGTGTAAAATTTTCAAAAGCAGATAATGAGTTTGAAGATTCTAGTCAAAAGATTATAATCGAGACTGCCGGCTGTGCAGCTTGCCCAATAAGCCTGTGCTTAAACGAAATTCGCAAAAAATTGACTGCTAAAGGGACATTCAAGTCATGGCATGTGCAACACTCTAAAATTATAAAACGTACAAAATGTGTCACTCATGGTAGTTTCTTCTCGCTGAAACGTACGATTGTGGTTGGGAGAGATCCGAGACTGCAATTATTTGATTGCAACTAAATTATGCTAAATTTACGATTGAACTGAACTGCGGTGATGCGACAGCCTAGGAAGCAAGGCGCACATGTGTCATTATATAACACGCTTATAAGGACATCATGGTATCGCGTAGACGTTTCATCTCGAGTTCCATTTTGTGAACATACATAATCTTCTGGTCAATGGTCTTCTGAATTGAGTGAATTTGGAGCAAACGTTCATATGCTTCCTTGAAATCTGCAGCCGCAAACCACTTATGCTTAATTTCGGAATCAACTTTTGCCACAGCCTTATCAACCAGATCCTTCAGGTTAGCTTTGGAAGTGTTTGGACCCGTAGCTACATTTTCACTTTCCGACTGAGGTTCATTGGGTTTCTCCGAAAGAGACGACTGGGATCCAAGATACAATGGTCGGCGTAGGTTACCGCCAACTTCTGCTTCGTGGGAACTTTTGGCTTCGTGGTCTGGATTCTCAATTGACACAATAAAGGGAGGACTGTTTTTGACAGTTGAATTTCTAGCATCTGCTCTCCGTTGAGCGATGTCTGTTACTAATTTTGCAATGTAACGTAAGACGTCCACATGGCTCAGGATGGCCATGTGGTCGGTCTCGTTGTAGCTCTTCACAACGACCGGTTCAGATTGCAGTTTGCTGTACTGTGTAGATGTGAGAAATATACATAATAATAGAATAGAGGTGTCAGCGCTGATAATAATATACATAATAGTACAATAGCAACGAAGAGGCTACTAAAATAAACACTTAATTGCGTAATTAAGTAAAATAGAATGTTTTTCGATGAGAAACGCAGAATTAGTATTTGTCATAAACTCCAAATTATTGGTGAGAAATGATACGACGTCTCAGATACTATTTGTCATTATTTTCACACAATTTTCAGAAACTGTCGTAAGTATTTTTGAACCACGGAGGAAAAATAAAAAGACAAAGCAAATTTCATAGTCACTGCCGTACCTGGGAACAGAGATCTGCACTACGGAGGTTGACAGTTCCGTCACCCGGTCCGTTGACGAGGCTTGGATAATCCGGAAAATACTTCGCATTGGCGAACTCAATTCTGCAAAAAATTAGTAGTGATGAACACACACGTTAGGGATAAATTTTAGGATTTACTATGAGGATCAAGGGGGATCAAAACACAACTTTAACAAATTTCCCCAAGTACGATACCAGAAGAAATTACAATGGGTACATATATATTTTAATAAATATGTACTCAATCATTCCTCACGGAATCTACGATTACAAAAATTGACAACAAAACGTGATTACCCGGTACTTAGGTAAAACTAAATACATTATATCACTACACCATTAGTGTGGTCACTGTACATCAAAAGGGAATGAACTGCATCCAAAGACAAAAGTAGAGCAAACCAAAAAATGACGATCAACATAATACAAAAACTATACTTAATATGTCTAGACAAATAAAACTAGTCCTAAATTTATCAAAGTCAATAACAACATTTGATGCAATTCTCCCTTTTTAATAAATTTGCAACGCAACAGTCAAAACACATATTGAGTAAAAACTAGTAGTGTAGAAAAAGAAAACAAAACAAACTCTCAAGGTAACAAATTACAACACCATTTTGGAACGGCTGCCAGAAACATCGAGGAACGGTGATCAGATGAAACCGTTTAATAGTTATTTAGGTACTACTCTACCAAGGGACTGTTTGATATATATACTCTAGCAAGGATCTACTCAACCCTTGTAAATAGGTTACTACTTACTATTAGAGATGAGGGTGCGTTATGACAAACTACACACCTAGAAGAGACTTGAATTACAGGCCCAAGATACAACACTGATACCTTACATGCAAACCGAGACTCGGCAGACAAGAGAACATAGCTTTTAATCTAAACTATTACGATCATCTCAGTCGACCCGGATGGTGGCCATCAAGCATCACGTAGGAATTTTTCATGATAGAGACCATGAAACCACAATAAAAAGCAAATATCAGGACAATAAGAGATCACGTAGCTTTGAAACGGGAATGGTGGCCAGTGAGAATCACGCACCGCTCAACAGTAGGGATGCCCACCCCGTAGAGGCAGTGCAGGGCGACGTGGGGCGCCGTATGGGACATGTTGAGCAGAGTACGCGTGTCCAGGTACATCTCGTAGGCATCTGGCAAACCCAGTTCACTGCGTCCATAGATAAATAAAAAATCATATCTTTCTTCAACGTATGATTAATGATGGAAGAATAACCCTGAATAAATATAAAAATTTCTCAAAAATTATATTGATGTAAATTCATTTGTGTATCAAAGTGCCATTTTCGAAGAGAAGTGCAAATAATAAGTTGGAAGGTACCAAGTGCCACAACTCATCATTTACTGCGCATCTTATAAAACTTTAAAAAATATTTTGTACAAGTTGAAAACGATTAAAGCGTTCTATAAATGCTTTGAAACAGTTCTGTTTCAAAGTAACATTAGATGTTACTTGATTTATTAGAAACAACAATATTGTCTGGAAGCAAGGAGCATATAATATACGTTTAAAAATTACTTTTTAAAGACAACACTTCCAAAGAATCCAGTATCTCCAATCTTACAGATGTACAATGAATTTCTCATCTAATTTTCGAAAATTAAAAAAATTACCTTTTCAATTTTTTAAATATATATAAAATTTTTTTAATTTTTAAAATCATTTATTTTGACATTTGATTCATGCATTGTCTCCAACTTTACACAAGTTGGCAAAATTTCAGATCGATAGGATAAGTAGAAGTGTATTAAATTTTGATTACAAGATTTGTAGCAGACAGACAGACAGACAGACAGACAGACAGACAGACAAGAAGTGAAGTTAAAGAGAAGTGTTGTAAAAAGTAACTCACAAGAGGTACTGCTTCATATCCTTGATGGTGTAATTGGCAGTAGGGGAGCGGACCAGCACTTCATCCAGCCACAGTTCAGGATCAGGCAGCAAGAAAGCCAAGCTTGGGTTTGTGCGCTGTTGAGTCCGCAGAGTCAGGGAATTCAATACGCTGTTCAAATTATCACCTGCAGCATAAACCTGCAACAGCCAACAATTGCTAGTGTCAGAACATTACAATTTAAAGTTAAATAAAAAAAGCTGGGAATTATTAAGGACATGCATTAAACCTCATATATCTAGTTAGAAAAATCAAATGCATGAGATAATCCATGAGGAGCAGAACATATGCATGGTTAATTTTAGCAAAAAATAACTTCAGGAGAAATAAAAAATTGTTTGACACTATTTAAATGAAAGCAAAAAGACAAAAATCTAAATAACCTGGCTAGCTCCAACACAGCTGTCATTCATGCTATTAAGTCAGTCTAAAAGACAAATTGGCCAAATAAAAATAACATCAAGAATGAAAATGCATCAAAAACTGTGGTGAACAAGTACAAAAGAACCAAAAAGCCCATTGCCTTGATGGCTTTTACAGAGCCGCCCCATGCCCCAGCCAGGGACACAAGGCATTCCACATTCTGCTTGCGCCAGTTCTGGGTTTGGAGGTTGAGGAAATAGTTCATGAGAGGAGCACCCATGCTGTGAGCTATGAACACCACAGGTCCTCCTGTGCTCTCTCGCAGCTCTTCCGTTAGTAACTTCAAGGAGGAAAAGTAATCTGATAACTCATCTGTAATAGAAATTTTAATGTTAATTGATCAGGAAGGGGCAATTTTTTCAATGAGTAAGTGAGAAGTGATGATAAAAAAATTATTGACTTTCTGCAAAGAGATAAACAGGAGTTATTGCTTTGATTAGGCATGGTGATGTAGCATTGTAGGTGGAAGATAGAAATAACAAAGAAATAAAGGTATTTGAAGGAGTATAAATATAAAATGGCATGGACTTTGAAGTGGTATGTCCTGTAGGTATTAAATTGCTTTTGTTAATAATTTTCAAATTAATTGCATGCCACAATGCAGAAAATTGAATGAAATTTGCAAGAATACTTTTTTAAAGGAATATATATGAATTATTTGAAAAAGCAGTGACAAAATTGCTCCTGAGATTAAGTAACAGACAATATTTATATCAAGTAATCAAAAACTTAGTTATGTTACACATTACGAATGGCAAATATGAGAGTATTTCCATGGTTGTCTTTTAAGAAATATTGTGAATTTGGCTTACAATTGACATTTGGCTTAAAATTGACAGTGATCTCAATCAACATTTGATTAATTGGTTAACTTACTTGGTGCCTTTCTGAAGTCAAAAGGAGCTCCTCTAAGGGTGACATTTCTCTGGTAGCCTAGAGCCACGAGAACTTCAGCAATGTATGCAAAGTAAGAATAAAGTCTACAAGGAGTGAGGTATTCCACTGTGGAAGTGTCACCAAAGTTTGGAACTCTTACATCTACTCCAGCAGGATTATTTGTTGTACGTGTTGAGTTGTTGTACTCCAGTACCATGTTTGACGTCTGTAAACAGAATAAACTGTTAATGGAGCAGAACATATGCAATATAAAATTCATGCTGGTACATACAGTCATTACACAGACCTGTAACTGGACATTTATATAATATTCAACCAGAAATTAAAAGACAAAAACTAAAAAGTGTGCAAATTACCATGACATTTTGCAGTTTTAATACACATACAAGTTACAACAACTCACCCAGCAATCTATAAAACCAGGAACCATCTCTGGCAGGTTAAGCCAGGATGTGAACCAATCACTGTTTTGATAACAGAAGAAATGAGCTGAAGAATTCTTGTGCAGGCGAGCTTGAAGTTGAGCACCGCCATCTCCAGGCACTGGAAAAAATTCATGAATTACTACAATATTATTTAATAAGCATGCCAGAATCTATTAACAAACATAATTTCAGTCAAGAGTAAAAATCATAATTTGCCAGTCTAAATTCTATGATTCTTCTTTCTTTAACCTTTATTCACATAGGAGTCTCCAATAAAAAAATATTTAGTAGCTGATATAACAAAGACACTCCTAATTCCTAATTTTTAAAATTAAAATAAAAAAATAAATATTTTTGCCTTTAATTTCCAAAAATCAACCATGAAATAAAAATCTGTAGTACCAGCAATTTTTGAAAATTCTGAATGATATTCTAGATTGGTTCCAGTTAAAAGTTGTGAGTTTCTAATCAGTAATCTGGCTAATTTTTTTATATTATACAAATTTAGAATAATATCAAAATTAGATTTCACTGTAGTAAGGTACCTACACTCCTACAGTAATTGTGTCAAGTGACAAATAAATGAGAAGGTTATAAAACAAATTTTTTTAAACAAAATTATTATTTATACATGCTCTTGTTTATTAAATTGGTATGCATTACCAGATTGAGTTTATTATTCAAAATCCAACCCATTTGCAATTTCTGGCAGAAATTTCCAAATTAATAGGTAAGAATGATCATTTCCTGTTTACCTGTCCTATTTAGCAGAAGTTTCCTAAAATTTTAGGTGAAAACAAAACAAACATTTTACTAGTTATTTTGGAAAATCAATTGGAAAAGGAGACAATTTTTCAAGTTTTGGCTGAAATTGAGAATAGGCCATAGAAACATGTGAATTTGGCCAGATTCACAGGAGATTTGGTCCAACTCACACAGCCTCAAACTCACACTAGTCTGGAAAAGTCCTATTTTTGTCTGAAATATCGCGGCTCTAATATCATATAATTTCAGTAGGTATGAAATCTCGCGGCTCTAATATCATATAATTTCAGTAGGTATGAAATCTCGCGGCTTGAATGTCATAAATTTTTGTTTGATTAAAAAATCGCGGTTTGCACTTCGCAAACATGTCATTTCAATTGTTGCCGTTTGACTGTTTAAGGGTAAAATTAGAGATTTGGGGTAACACGTGCATAAACTTTGTAAATAAATTCGCATTCGCACCTCGTAAATGGCTTTTCATGGCCGAGATATGGGATTCACGGCTCGGTGAAATAGAATCACGGCTCGTAGAAATGGAATCACGGCTGGCAAATCCATAAAACCACGGCTCGAAAAATTCAGTCGCGGCTCGCCAAGTAGATATATTCCATACTAGCACTCACAGCCTCACAGTCACAGGTGGCTCCTGCCCAATTTTCCACTTAAGTCTTTATAGTTAGGTATTTTGAAAAATTGCAAATAAAAAAAGATATTTTTACTGATTTTCACTGAAGAAATTGTGAAAAAGCCATGAAAAAATGAAATTGGTCAGATTCACAGGCTTTCTGGCTTCTGCCATCTGCTTTTTTTGTCCAATTCATTTTTCATGGGTGGCTTCTGGCTGCAAATTATGCAACAAATGTACGAATACATAGCATTAAAACTCACCAAATATGACACCAGGTAACTGAGGTAAGTTTGCAGTATCAAGTGCCTCTACTTTAGTCTTGAATACGAAGACAAAAAATAAAGCAGAAAACAAAGCTGTTATTGCCATTCTTCTCATGTTTGCATCGCACTTCGACTGCCACTTCCTAGACTGCAAATGAAATTGCGTCATGGGAACTTCGAGATGATCATCAGCTGATCATTTAAGGTCACTGGCACGTTTGTCAATGAGGATAAGCCTGACCAAGAAATGTATTTATTGCTATTTTACAACTCTTCTCTTTAACTTCACTTCTTGTTTGTTTGTCTGTCTGCTGCAAATCTCATAATCGATATTTAACACACTTCTGCCTGTCCAATCAATCACAGAAATTTTGCACACAAGCGTAAAGTCAGAGACAATGCTTGAATCAATTGACAGAATAAATAATATACAAAATAAAAAAAATTATATATATAAATTAACATATATATTTTTTCTATATATATAAAAAATAAATTTATTGTACACGTGTAACAGAGGCGTCACTGGCCTCTTTAGGAGTGTTGTCTTTAAAAAGTAATTTTAAACGCATATTTTTAACTACTGCAGTATCATTCGGTTCAATAAAATGTGCTCATAAATTTTATAAAAATGCTTCCAGTGAGATAACAAAACATAACATAGTGACTTTTTAGTGATGTCGGCGCTAAAGAGAAGGCCTGATGTGGCCTGTCGCCGATTCCTGAACTTTTCATGACTTGTTCATAGATCTAAAATCGTGTCATTTGACCGGATCTTTTCAAGACTGCGATAGTTTGAAATAGCCACTAGACTTCCACCGGGTTCGATATGGTGCTAGGCATTTCAAGTCCGAACATATATTTTTCCATAGCATCATCTAGTGATTCTAGTCTGTTCTTGAACGCGTTCATACTCGGAGCGCCAACGATGTAATCAGGGAGGCTTTTCTATATGTCGATGATTCGAAGCGAGAAGAAATGTCGCGTGGACAAGTTGCAGCGCAGTTTTTTTAGTTTACGGCTGTTTTGTTCTCGTTGCAAATTCTAGTAATCCTTCGGAGACCTTGTATAAAGAATAGAATAGAAGTGTCGGCGTTGAAGACATAGGCCCATGGCCTGTTGCCGATTCTTGAACTTTTCGTGACTTAATTCACAAGGGATCCGGCCTTTGGAACCCGATCTTTCCATAACTGACGATTGATTGAGATAGCTGCTGGACTTATTGCCTGCTCCGTAATTTGCTAGGCATTTTAAGACTGAACATATGCTCCTGCATAGCTTCGTCGAAAACATGAGTATACTTGTAACTTTAATGAGGTCCCACGCAGATGTCGATAACTAAGGCTCGGAAGCTTCGTAATCTTTAATCTTTCTTCATAGGACTTGCTCTTCAAGCCTGGAATTATCCTTGTTGCACGTTTTTGAACATTCTCTAACAAATTATATGTTGGTGATTCGAAGCGAGAAATGTCGCGTGGTCAAGTGGCAGCAGTTTTTTTTTTTATTTATAGATGTGGCCCCTGGTGTTGGTTCTTGTTTCAAATTCTAGTTATCCTTCGGGTACCTTGAATAAACAATGAGCATACTTTGTATACTTCAATGAGGTCCCCACGCAGACGTCGATAACTGAGGCTTGGAAGCACACATTGTCTAAATTTAAAATCAACCACCAGGACAAATAGTTAATTTATTAAGATTTAAAGGCGACAATTTTTTCAGAATAAAAAGGCCAGAAAATAAATGGAATGGTTAGGAGAAAAAGGAAAATCACTAATTAAAAGATCAAGACCCTAACAATTGAAAATTGATTACAATTCAGTGTTTTTTGTTGTCATTTTAGCATGGAAATAATTTCAGATGTTTCTTTTACGGGTCAGAATAACTTATTTAACTTTTATTTTGTGAGCGTTGACTGACGACAGCACAGCGTTCCGTTTTCTCTTGGGTCTATACTTGCTGTCATACCGTGTTCTGAACAACTATTTAGTTGAAAGTAAAAGCATTTTAGCTAAAATCTCATAAAACGAAAAATCATGCACCTGCTTCAAATAAATGGAAAATAAATACAAAAATAGCGCTGCATCTTTTTACTCTTTAATTATAATTATCAGATAGATTTGGTACTACACAATTTATTCTTCGATCGCCTTCTCTGCTTTGAGAAGAGCTTCTGAGAATCTGGTCATGGGCACCACAAGTACCTTCCTGAACTGTTGCCTCTTATCATCGACTTCTTTCTCATTCCAGGACTCCGCGGGAAGAGAATTGCAATCTGTCACACAGTATTCGAAACTCAACGAAGCAACCTGCACAAGAGGAAGGTTTCCAAATCACCAATCGAATGAACATTCATAAGTACTTATATTATTAGTCTGCTTAAATTGCAAGTTCACAAGGAATTTAAAAGCAAAGAAAACACCAAGCAAATTCACCATATCGATATCGAAAAACGTTTTCAATATCAGTGTGGTGAATTTGCTTGGCGTTTTCCTCGAATTTAAATTCTTTTTCAAACGATTAAGCACTTATTTATAAACTTTAGAAAGTATGTAGGTACTGTTAAACGGAATATTTATTGGTTGTTCTATTGTTTAAGAATTAAATAAACAAACAAACTATGAGAAGCTCGATATTCAATCCATAAAGTTAAATTAGGTAAAATCTTTGGTGAACGTTTTTTCCAAAATCTTCATACACAAACGTTCAATCTTAAATGTAGCACTTGAAAATGTCTTTCTATTAGGAAAAGGGGCTTAGCCACCAATGATACAGCATGATACGAGTGAACCAAGACTTGCTCCAGACTTCCTGAGCAATGCACGAGGAAACGGAAATTTTAGGATAGTACCTCAATATTTCAGTATAGTACCATTAGAACTCAAATTATTCTAAAATTAAAATCAACCACCAGGACATATAGTTAATTTATTTAGGATTTAAAGGCCACAATTTTTTCAGATTAAAAAGGCTAACAAATAAATGGGATGGCTCGGATCAAAAATTAATATTACCGTACCTCAGAAAAACATTCCTCTTCAGAATTGGAATAAATTTCCTTCTTGCTCGGATCAACATCATCTAGGATCTGTGAGGTCTCGCCTTGCTTTTCCTTCATCTTGCGCATCTTCTTCTTGGATTTCAAGGTATGAAACTTGTAAGTTTTGGCAATCAAAATCAAATGCGAGAATTTGAATGGCATACCAATTGAATTTGATTCGTCCATTTCTGATCTAAAAAAAAAACAGACCAGAAAAACGTATTTAATATTTTTAAATTCATTTATCCGTACAAATATTGACAGAACATCGTAAATCAAATTTTGCAGTAATAAGCAAGAAATTATCCATATTAACATAACAGTACTATTCAAATTGGTGAAATAACAGTTAACAAAGAATAGTATAGGTACATATGTTGGTATATATACACTATACTAGGTAACTTACTTTAAGGTATGGAAAGCTGGAATAGCAACATCTGAAGGCAGATTGACAAGTCGTTCATTGATAAGGAAGCCAATACTATTTGACGCGTCTTCCAGGATTGATTGGAAGTTTTCTTTAACCTCATCACTGCACTTGCTCGCTGAACATCGCTTCAAGAGTTCTTTACGCAGGCTTTTGATGCAGTCCATTTCAAGTTTCTAAAACATAAAATTAATTAAAATATTACACCCATTTCATTGCCATAGGCCAAATAGGGTGGGTCTATACCAATCATATTGGCTGGCATCTGCAATCATATTGAGTAGCAGAAAGTTTGAGATATGTTATACTTTGATTTTAAGAATAATTATTAGAAAACATTTTTGACTCTAATGATATCAACCCAAAAATACTTACTTTTTTGTGTGAGATGTTGAGGATTGTGTTAATTCCAAATATATAATCACTTTCAGTGTCAGGCTCTCCTTCAAGGGCATCATCATCCACTTCCATTGCTTCTTTTTCATCATCAATGACTTCCTGAAGTGAAAAATTTTGTTTAGGCTAGTACAATTTAGTAATTTTTATTTTCAATTTTGGAATTCTAAAGGAACAATATGGAATTTGAGTGAACAGAGGAATAGACTATGCACATGACCAGAAAAAACATTGCGGGATATATTAATAAGAAATTATTTCATTGTTTCTCACCTTCAGAACACATCCAACATAATTTTGCTGGATGATCATATTTGTTACATCTGATAGATTAACATCCAAACCTCTGAAGGTCTGTGCCAGTAAGCGCTGGATACCATGGAAGTCATCTTCTTGCGGAGTGAAGCCTTCAAAGTTGACATTCACCTGCAAACAAAATGTTTCTTGCATTATGTGCCAACATAATATACCTAACATAAAATCTCAAGGGTTAGTCTAGAAATTCCTAGGTAGCTAGTACCAGGAGTAACTTAGATTTGATGAACAGGCCATAGTAAGGGTAGGTAATTATGAGTGTATGTGGAAAAATTATATGAAAATACATTGCATAGGTACAAGTGTTAGTGTGTATATGCAGAAGTTACAAAAAAATCTGATTAATAAAAATACTTACTATTTGTCCAATAGCATCTTCATCAGTTTCAGAATTGCTGGAGTCCTCAAACTCTTGAAGAGCTTTCATTTGTTCTGAAATCTTAGCTTTTTTAGGCATAGTTGTGCAATTATGAATTTCTGAAAAAAAATTAAATTGGATCTGCATGAGTGGGTATCAGGATTTAAAATTCTACTAAAATTCTCAAGCTATAAAATGAACATACTTATGTAAGAAGCAAGATTATCCTATCTGAAGAGCAAAAGTAGGTACTTATGTGGTAACATGGCTCTGTACCACTGTCAGTCAAATGGAATTTAAAAGCAAAGAAAGCGCCAAGAAAATTCACCATATCGATATTGAAAATGTTTCGGAGTCCAGGTCCATCATCAGTTCAACTAATTTCAAAATTGGTTCTTTCTTCAGGTATAAGGACGTTATTCCTGCTCGGATGCGATCAAACCTGGTCTATGAGTTCTGTTGTGCACGCTGTGCATCTACGTACGTTGGAATGACGTCGCGTAATTTCTACATCCGGGTTTCTGAACACTGTGGCAGGAGCTATCGTTCTAACTTGCCTCTCGCCAAGCCTCCTCATTCTTCCATGCGCCTCCACGCTGAACAGTGTGACATGGCTGTATCTGTGAGTGATTTCAGGATACTTGGTTCCACTTCTGGCAGCTTGGATTTGAGAATTTTGGAGTCTCCACATATCTTCAAACAAAAACCATGTCTCAATAACACATTTAGTTCATATAATCTGGAAATAGTAAATCGCTAGGATTTTATTTTCTTGTCATACCCCTAGGACTAAGTTGTTCTTAACTAGTCCTGTTTATTTCGATACATATAATGTTAGGTCTTGTTTAGGTTTTATGTCTGTCTTTGATTTTTGACTTTTAAAGTGATTTTGTTCATTTTTAGTTTAGTCAAACTGATGATGGAGCTGGACTCCAAAACGTTTTCAATATCGATATGGTGAATTTTCTTGTCATTTTCTTTGCTTTTAAATTCCTTGTGAACTTGCGAGATAAGCAGACAAATGATATAAGTACTTGCAAGTCAAATGTAATGGGGAGTCAAGATGATAATTAACCAAACACTAATATTTTAAATAGACCAAAGTTTGAACCTGTTTAATAAGTATGAATAATTTTTTTTAATACTAGGTGCATAATATATTGTGAGATAACATCAAGTACAAGTATATTAAATATAATGAAATATTACATATTAGCTAAATATATTAAATATAATATCAGCTATTCAAGACAAGGCTGCTGTGAGCAGTGAGGTTACAATTGACTGAACTAGTGATAGAAGTAAATTTAGATGTCAGAGGTAGGCAAGAGTGTTTGACTTTGGTTCAATGATGAATTTAGATGTTCCTAAATATATAACTATAAATTAAGCATCAAAATATGAATTATGATCTATACTCAGATGGACATATACTTGTAGTTGTAGCTGTCAGGTGTCTGTTTCTATGACCACCTGATGGATTTGTACTGAGAGTCAGGGTTCTTATTGTTCCATGTATGACTAAGGCAGGACAGTGAAACGCACGGTTAACACTAGTTCTATTATAATAATAAACTGGCTCGGTGAGTACAGAAGGACGGGGTTTGACAGGTACAGCACAAGTACGTGCTGGAGGAGGGGCTAGCAAGATGACGGCTAGGCAGTACCACTACCGCTACAACTGACAAGCGGTGCACAGATCGAGATATATATAGGCCTTAACAGGGATGACGTCACTGAGTGTGACTCTATATACCATGTGGGTACAGAACATGTTATAAGAGTGACGTATGATAACCTAGAGGGTGATAGAAGATCCCCTGACATAGCCTGTACTCTGTAGGCTGTAGCACTACCAAGTGGCAAGTGCCAAGCACATACTCATTACTCACTGTCATTGGGACATGGTAGGCATGGAATATATCTACTTGGCAAGCGGCGCAACAGTCGCGCAAGCCATGACTGAATTTTTCAAGCCGTGATTCCATTTCTTTGAGCCGTGATTTAATTTCTTTGAGCCATTTATTCCATACCTTGCCCATTAAAAGACATTTACAAGCTGGCAGCCACAAACTTTTTACCAAGTCCCATGCATGTGTTACCCCTAATCTCTAATTTTACCCTAAATAAAGTCAATACTAACATTTATCTTCACTTAACTTACTAAGTGACCACTGATCACGTGAAAATGCAGTCTGATTGCTCTGACATGACGGCAACTATGCAATCTTTAAGGTTACGTTCTAGATTGACTTGTTATTACGTTGTGCAGGATATTTTGGTGGAATCATTTAAATATTGCAGATTGTGGAAGTTGAAAATTTTATGAAACAACCGGTTTGCAAAGTGCAAACCGCAATTTTTTCAGTCAAACAACAATACATGACATTAGAGCCATGAGATTTCATACCTACTGAAATTATATTTGAGCCATGTATTTCAGAAAAAATAATACTTTTCAGCCCTGGGACATTGGAGCATGGATAACAGGGTAGGGTATTATGTTAAAAATTACTAATTTTGCTGCAAAAATAAGAACATAGCTTGTTCTGTAAGACTGTAACTTCTGTCTATAAGACTATAGCTGAGGCAGAACTCATCTAAAAAAGTATCAATCAATTTATTGCATTTGATGATTTGCATGTAAATGTAATAATGTGAATTACCGTAAAATGGGGTAACTTAGACCACTTTTTTTCTTATAAATGATGCCATTTTCTTACTAGCTAAATAAAACTTGAATTGAAACGTGCAAAATACAGGTCTATACTCTAGCTTCACTCACCATAAATTGCTGGCTCCTGCCTCTCATAGTCTTTATGTAATTTTAAAAAAAGTGATGGTCTTTGTTACCCCAGCTCTTGGGGTAACTTAGACCGGGTGGTAAAATCAATTATTTTTTTTTTGGTAAAATAACTCCAGGTTTTGGTGCATTGTAGTAGAACTCTTCTAGTTACAAAAGCAAATGACAAACTTGAGGAAAGTGTCATAGTTTGCAAATGGGGGGCACCACCCCATAATGAGGGAAATGTAACTACCTAATGGCAGCCCTGATGGAGTAAATATTGACTGGCTTGTAAATTAAGTTTAAATTACCATATATCAGACTCTGTACCTGTAGAGTCTGAAACATAAAGAAAAAACATAAATAGGCTGTCAAACATAAAATATGTTATATATGGTAATTTTATATTAACTTCCAAGCCGGTCTATGTTACCCCGTCAGGGCTGACATTAGGTGATACTACAATGCATCAAAACCTGGAGTTATTTAACCAAAAAATAAAAAAATTGGAAGGGGTACTCTGACAGGCTTTAAATAATAGCTTTTTTTCGTGAGTCACATTTTAAATTTTTTAACCTATTAGATATGCAAACTTTTTAAATCTTTCTATTGTATTATGTAGCCTCAGTATTAGGCCTTTAATGCCCATTGACAAAATTTTTCAATGTCAAATAGTTTTTGAGTTGTGGGGGTTTTTGTAAAAAAAACGAAAAGTGGTCTAAGTTACCCCGCCGGTCTAAGTTACCCCATTTTACGGTATGTGATTATAGAACTGAAAGTTGCAGTTATATAATTAAGCATGTATAGTTAATGCTTAATGGTATGAGTACTCAGCCTGAGTAGGCCGCTATGACTCAGTCAGTACGAGGGTAAGACTGTGTGTCATTGTGGTCTTGTGGATATCTTGTGGTCAAGGTCAACCATCAAAAGTCCCTGTGAAATCATGCAGATATAAAGGATCTAAAAGCTATAACTAATCTTTAGGATTAGCTGTTCTGCTCAATCTGCTGTAGTACTGTACTGCTGTTAGCTGTAGCAGAATTCTAGCCTGAGACTAGTCTCCTAGACCAGGTAGACCCTAGAGGATGTATGAACTAGGAATGCTGGTTCATCTGTATAAGCTGAGCTTGAAGCCTTGATCTAATGTAAAGTTGAAATCATTAGAAATCTGAAACTACAAAATGAACAAGGGCAAAAATTTTAGCAGTCAGCTTTTGTACACTTCAATTTGTGTTTTGCAATAAACTCGAACCATAGAGTCTAGACTAGATATATTTAGGTACTATGCTAATGCTAGATTTGCTAGTGCTTAGCAATTAGCATAGGTAATACTACAGTAGTACAGTGCCAACAGTGGTAGTGGTACTGTGGTACACCGTACACTGGTACTGTCTACTCTACTGTGGTACCGAATTGCATAGCCTACAAATGCTACAATCATTATAACAATACAACAGTCAACAACTACCGGTAAACTACAACGCTGTAGTCTGTACACTTAGTGTACAGCGGTACAGCCTTAGGCCTACACCGTAGAAGTACGGTTACTGCGGTAAATATACCTATTACCTAATACAAAAGATTGAAAGGGTCTAGACTCAAGCCTCTGCCCTCTAGCGATACGTTACTTGAACTATTGATAAATGCGATGATTTGCGGGAAACTCTGGAGACTTGTCCAATGCGGCTCCATGACAAGAGCAAATTTGGAAACCGATTCTATCGCAACTCTCAACTTCTCAAGACTCAAGGGGGTCAAGAGCCAAGCCTGCCAAGGTGCACGTGGACTGCGAGTCTGTGACTCAAGCGCCCGCCCTGTTCCGCATTCTGTCCAAAGGCTGGCGAGCCTGAAAATATCGATGTTGTAGTTGGTAACCATGGTAGTTTTCGGCTTGAAGGTCAAAGAGCCAGGAGTTGGCGACTTTCTATCATCAATGATTAGTTACCTTTTTTATACGCATTTCTGAATAAGATTCTAACAGTCCCGACTTGAAAACTAATTTACATTATCCTAGTTTTCTAACAATCGTGTGTAATCACCCAATTTTTAGAAATTGTGGGTTTGTGATTCAATGCAAATTCGGGCGCTGGAGATGACACTACCGTGAAATTGTCCAGCCAATTGATAGAAAGTAACAGTTAATGCCTACACATAAATCGACTCGGCAATGCTGTCGTTTTTTTTTCGCTCACCACTTACAGGCGTTCAACACTCAAATTAAGGTGATAATTAGTAGACAATTTTTGCTTATTCAGTTTTTTAAATATGTGGATGGCTAAATTTCTCATTCTGTTTTTCAGTCGCACTTTAATTTGAAACTGGTCAAAATTCGCTTAATTTCCCTAGTTGATTGATCATCAGTATTCAAGCAGGAAATAAAACTATGAAGACTCCAATGCATGATATACTTGTGAACTCTCAATTTGTATAATACAAACACTAACTTAGACATGATTAAAAATTTTTCAGTTCACACTGTTAAGTGTTAAGTGTTACAACTCAGCTCGATAAACTAACTAGGTAGATGATATCGTATCATACAACAATCGTACGCATTTTATGAGCTAATATCATTCAGTACCAAAACTTACACTGTTGGATTAAAAAATAACTTTGTTAAATTGGATGTAGAGTCGATCAATCGTAACGCACATGGTAAACTGACTCATGGGCTTGAACTAAAGTTATTTCCACGACCACCAGTATTATCAACGGAGTGAAGAAGGATATGAATGCTCGCATCTTTCCCTTTATATGATAAAAAATTCAGTGTCGACTCCTTATTATCCACAATAGACATATATTATAAACCCAAATACAACTCGATCCTATTTCAGAGTGGAATTGAAAATTAATCTAAGAAACCGTGTCATATAATTGTAATTTTTAGCAAAAGTAACAACAAGAGAACCCAATCAATATTCCTTCATGTCGGTTATCAAGTACTACATTAATATCTGGACAATTGGAATATAGGGACGAGGAATGCAATTCACCTGGCAGCCCAAGGTCTTCTAAAAGATTATGCACAGCAAAAATTAAAGCTACAATATTCATTAATTTACTAAGCATAATTTTTAATTTTTAAGGATATCTCGCTTTTCATTGGCACTAACAAAAGTATGGAATTCATAATGACAACTGACAACCAATTGCTTAGTCTGGAACATATATTAAGCATAGACAAATATGAAAATATCTAGGAACTTACATTAATTATGTCTCAGATGGTTCAGCAATGAATAAAAATATGGCGAATGCTATTCTACACAAGAAAAGCTCTCATATCTCAATCAAAATATTCGTCAGAAATTGCGTCATGTTCGTCCTCTACATTAAAATAATCTTCAATGAACCGCTTTCCTAGCTCAAAGCTATAAGCATTTGGATTGTTTCCATTCACCAACTTTTCACTCTCCTTCTCATCGCCCGATTCAGATCGCTTGCCTAGACCAAAAGAATAATCGTTCCTGTTCTTTTTCTGAAGATAGACGGGAAATCCAGCCGCGCGCTTGCCCAAACCAAAATCGTAAGATCGTCTACCAAATCTAGGAGCTGGAGAGTAAGGAGTCTGATTCAAGCCTAGGTATTTGAGTAGAGAGTAAGGATACTGGTAGGTAGGACTTGATTGTTCAACATTGGAAAGCCTCTTACCAATACCGAAACTGTACTTCGATGGTATACGCTTGCCAATTCCAAAAGAAAAAGGGGGACGCGAACGTTTCCCAAGGCCAAAGGAATAGTGATCAGGCATACGTTTAGGGTAGCCAAACGATGGCAATATGCTGCGTTTGCCTAATCCAAAGTTGAAGTTGTGTCCACGATTTCCAGAGTCATCGTAAGCATTCCGCTTCCCTAAACCAAAACCATACAGATTTTTACGTTTGTCGATTAAGCTCAAGTCTGTTTCGTCATCAACGTCCCTTTCGTCATCAATATCTACTTCTCGCTTATGCCTCGTTTGGTGTTCATCTTGGTTGGTGCTAAGCCAATGATCATTTTCATCTAGCGGACCCGAGCTTGGCTTAGACATCTCTGGTTCAGCCGTTTCTGTCGAATGATTTCCCGCAATATCATCTACCGTCTCGACGTCTGCGGCTCGTTTACCAAGTCCAAACGAGTAACTCTTGCTTCTTTTGCCTAATCCAAAAGAATAGTCTTTCAGCCTCTTTCCCAACCCAAAGGAATACTCTTTCACGCTCCCTCTCTTGCCTAATCCAAACGCGTAGTCTTTCCCATTTCCTCTCTTTCCCAGACCAAAGGAGTAATCATTCCGCAAACGTTTTCCCAATCCGAAAGCGTAATTTTTCTCGCGTTTGCCAAGTCCAAAGGAGTAATCAGGCCTTCTCTCGTCCATGTCAAACGAGCTTTCCTCCTGACGCTTGGCATGCGTGCTCAGGTCATCAAGCTCTCTAGCATCAGGTGCTGCTTCCCACGGTTGGTAATAAGTCTCCAGTAATTCCTGAAAAATAATCAGCTCTGGTAATACTGTAATTATAATGTCAGTACACCGTAAGAAATAAAAGATTAATTTATCTTCCATTTGAGTCCTCAGATTCCAACATCAAATTGATACAATGAAACTTTTGATTAAGATTATGTTTTCGAAAATGGGCTGTATTTGCAATTTACGTTGAAAATATTGTACTCGATTTAAATGATATCACTGAATTCAACTCTGAATGCATTTTCTTGAATTTTTGTAAGTTCTGGTGGAATTTACCTGCCATGTTTGAGGTAGAAAAGCCAGTTGTTTGGAGTGGTATTCGTCGTAGAGTGGGCTAGCGGTGGTCGAGGACGCCAGTCCAAGCACCACAATTACGGATATGATGGCAAGACGGTGAGCCTTCTTGCCGGTGCGGAACTCGTGAGGAGAAAATATCTTCGTGTGTTTGAAGGCCAAAGCATTGCAGCTCATCCTTTTTTTCCGCAGCCTTCACAGCCTCTGCAACAAATCATAAAGATTCTTTGATTATGCACATATCAATTGATAAGTTGAAGGTGCATGACCTTCTCGGATGTGTTAAGTTCACTTACGTCAGCACCGGTTTTCAATACTGACCTTGTAGCACAATCATTAAACGTGCCACAAAGAATCCCGACAAAAGCATTTACTGTTCGCAGCACACGGTAATCGTGAGTATCGTAGGATAGAAGCCGAAGTCTGTTTTTCAGGGCCTGGAATTGCAAGACATTATCGCCCAACCTACATTGACGCTCCGCACGCGAAACTGGCATCTGAACTCGTCGAAAACTTTGAAGTTTTTTTCCGCTTTGGCCTGCGTGGCTCAGGCACTGAAAATTACAACAGCGTGAAATTATACGACATGGTCAGCCACCTGAAATTGGAAAATGTTTCTGAACGCCCAAGTATTCATGTCATCCTTTCTGCGTTCATCGATTCGATGGATTTGAGATTGAAACAAGGAAATAAAGTAATATGACGTTTAAAGAACAGAATTTTTAACACAAATTTACGCAATTTTCTCTATAGCTTTGCACATTCATATTGTCGTTTAAATCATGAAGATTTGTCCAAAAATCTGAAACAAAATATTTATATATGCATACGGAGCTCCGACAAATAAATTAAATATTTTTTTTTTCGTTTAAAAATTGGAAAATTTCTCTAATTATGATGAATCTTGAGGAACGTACATTCATGCAATAAACCAAAACTATTGATAGATGTTTTATTCTGAATATTTTGAATTCATATTGCCTGCGAATTGTTAATTGGGTTCGGAATAATAAACTTTTTCCTATGAATAGTACATAAATGGGAAAAACTGAACCAGTGTCCATTCAGCGAGGAGAGTAATAACGCTCGTGCAAAGCCAAATACATCGTTCCCGTATATTGTTGACTATGTTGGAATGTTGCCGTATATTCTGAGTCGAGGCTCAGTATGCATCATAAATTAGCAGCTGTCCCGTACTGCTACGTCAAATTAAAAGCTCAGTTACTGACGAGCGCAACGATATTGCGAAAGATATTCGCCAAGCGAGAATTCTTGCAGCCTGCAATAACAATTCTCTTGACAATAATTGAAAATAGTTCTCATAGTAGTGACTGTGATTTTTTTCGCAAACGTAAATAGTGGAAACTATATTATACTTTAAACCTGAAAAAGTTAAAAATATAACCATTAGTACAGCTTTTTAACTTGGACTTCAACCATATCATTTATGCGCTGAGTAAAAAAAAATACAAACCAACTTCTTCAAAACATTGATGATGGAGTTAAATTTCCGCCACTGTCGATCTTTTATATAACAATATTTGTCTCCTGAAACTTCACTGGAAAAAACGGCGATAAAATGTGTGATCTTGATCTTTACATAAAATTTAACTTTAAAATAGAGCCCAGAAACTTTAAATGCATGAAGTCTGTCATTGCAAATCCGTCTAATATTCCGCACCTGCATGACGACCTGCGTTACTTTTTCCATGAATTTTCACAGAACTTGTCGAGCACAACTGAGGGTCTAGGGTAAGTTATAAGCCGTCGAATAGTTTATTATTTGCGCGAGAAAATCTTTGTTGAAACCCTTAAACCTTTTTTGGAACATCATTTAAATGAAATGATATCAACTTACAAATACTCTAAAAGTTATAATAAAATAGAAAACATTTGATGATTGTTTATGTACAATCGAAATAAATCGTTGCAGAGAATTACCGATGTTTCATCAGTACATGCATTGAAAAAGTTTTCGTTGTGTGATATCCTCTTGATTTTATTAGCGGTTCGTCGTTCCGTCTCTGTATTTATTGAGTGATGAATCACTGTTGGGAGATAACAGTGCTGGAGGCGAGCCTCATTTCCATGGCATTGTTTCGCTTGTCATATCACGAATGTTAGAACACGAGTGGGCGACCGCACGATTCTCTGCCGTTCGTTTGGTTGCCGGCGGCTTAATTGTGCCGTTCGTTCATCATTCAGACGCGAATCGTGGATGAAATAGAACGGCAAGCTAATTTGTGGGAACAAATCTTAAGAATTTTTGTTGGACAAAATTGCTTCATCTATCAAGAAATGCGAATATTTTGTAAGACGAAAAATCAAGTGCATTAAAGTTAACGCGATTCGGGATAACGAGATTAGGGGTAACGTGATTATGAATAACGAGTTCGGATTTAACGCGATTAGGAAGAACGTGGTTAGAGGTAACGCGCCTAGGGAGAATCGGGTTCTCAAGTCTAATGGTCGATCCATTCCGAGACCTCAGATAGAGTTTTTTTATTTTTAAAGCTAATTCGTCTACACATCTGGAATATTCTTGTCGCTGGTGGAACACGTGATAGACTGAGACAATACACCAGGAAACTGAAAAACAGACTGCAGTTAAGCTGAGGTTGATGATCTAAGCTAAGAAGCGTTGTTCAGAGTTAACTTGCATGATTAACCAAATACGCTTTACTTCAAAAACAATGCCCGCGGTTGGCCTGCTACTATATATAGAAATAGCGTTTGGCTATAGGGAAATTTTAGACTGAATAATATACGTTTAAAAATTACTTTTTAAAGACAACACTTCAAAAGAATCCAGTGTCTCCAATCTTACAGATGTACAATGAATTCTCATTTAATTTTCGAATATTAAAAAAATTAATTTTTCAATTTTTTTAATATATAAATTTTTTTAATATATAAATATATATTTTTTATTATTTATACTCTTAATAGATTCATGCATTGCCTCTGACTTCACACAAGTGTGCAAAATTTCAGATCAATTAGACAGGTAAAAATGTGTCAATTATCAGTTATAAGATTTGCAGCTGACAAAATTATTTTTTATATTAAAAAAAAAATTTAATATCATTTATTTTGAAATTTGATTCATGCATTGTCTCCAACTTTACACAAGTGTGCAAAATTTTAGATCGATTGGAGAGGTAGAAGCGTGTTAAATATCGAATATAAGATTTGTAGCAGACAAACAAACAAACAAACAACAAGAAGTGAAGTTAAAGAAAAGTGTTGTAAAATACATAAGGATTTTACATAATCAAGATATATGTATTATTAATTGGTCCCGTATTAATATTTTTATTGGCAGAATCAAGAGGCATCAAGTAGCAGAGATTAGATTAAAAATAAAATACGTTCTAAAGAATCCAGTGTCTCCAATGTTAAAAATGTACAATGAGTTTCTCATTTTATTTTCGAATATTAAAAAATTAATTTTTCAAATTTTTTTAATATATAATTTTTTCTACATTATTTATTCTGTCAATTGATTCATGCACTGCCTCTGACTTCACACAAGTGTGCGAAATTTCAGATCAATTGGACCGGTAAAAGTGTGTCAAATATCAGTTATAATATTTGTAGTTGATAAAATTATTTTTTTCAATTTTTTAATATAGAAATTTTTTTTTTAATAATTTATTTGTCATTTTATTCATGCATTGTCTCTAACTTTACGCAAGTGTGCAAAATTTCTGATCGATAGGATAAGTAGAAGTTTGTTAAATTTTGATTATAAGATTTGTAGCAGACAGACAGACAAACAGACAAGAAGTGAAGTTAAAGAGAAGTGTCGCAATAAATGTTTGATAATCTCAATTGAGTAAAATTTATATCAAGTTTAAATACGGATGTATTTCTTTAGTAATATTTATTTAAGTTCTAAAAATAAGTAATAACGATGATTTAATGGAATAAGGCAGTAAAAATATATAAAACGCAAATAAATGCGTCCCAAATTTCTGAGGTGAGCAAAGAAATTACCACAATGAGCTGAGCAACGTAGTTGAAATTGCTTGCATTCCTTTTAATCATGCAGTGCGTGAAGGTACGTAGAAAACAGCAAGATCTATAGATTAAGAGAGCAAAGTTAACGACGACCGTTCGCTTTTGTTGACAGGGCGGGCTTGGCCGACGTACAGGTGGAAACATTGACCCGACGTCAACACTCGAGCTACAGAATGCTTCATCACGTGGCACGAAATAACAAACCTGAGGCTCATTTTCTTCCCGGTAGTGGCCAATATATACGACTGGAACAAACACCGATCTGCTGATCGTCGAATCTAATTATTCAACACTAGTGGGATTTGGCTGAAAAAAATGCGTTTAATTATGTTCAGTCGGGAATTAGCGTACTAAACTTAACAAAAAACTGGGCGTAACAATAACTGGAGGTCTAATACCTCCTTCCTTCAGTGCAAGATCCAGAGGAATAGAAATAATTCATTGCCAAACGAGGCATCTTCAGCTGCAAAAAAGACCGTCGCGATGTGAATTGAATTGTAATAACTAGACAGTAAATTATGACGCCTTTTCCCAGCAGGACGAGCTGCAGGAGGCGTCACTTCGACTCTCCCTTCAGTTTCTAGTGTTATGTTACTAACTCGGTGATATTCGAGTGTGCCAGAGGGGCAATCCCTTCCTGTCCAACTCAAGCTTTCGGAACAGAGTTGTTTCTGAGCCTGAAATCAATAAGGTGTATAAAAAAGGTCAAAAAGCATGGGAGAAAATTTTTCGTAGTACATCAAAACAAAATCTAAATAAATGTTTGCACAACGCTTGTAGAAAATATGCTGAACTTCACCTTCCCATGCGTTTTGATTGGAATTCCAGACACGCAAGAAATTGTTTTGCCTGAAAGGTTTCACACTGTACCAGTGTTTTTAAAGGGAATAACTTCTTTTCATTGGCGTATCTTTATGTATTCAAATTTTATTTAAATAAGTTGGACACGAAAACAAGGTTGTTGTTTTCCAGCATTCAGAAACAGTAATAAAGGCAGAGACTCGCTTCTTTAGAATATGCCCCAGTTTGTGAGGGCAGGTGTTGGCCTTTGTCTTGACAGTTTGAGACTACAAAAATATTTCGCTAGTTCGCTGGCAAGTGAGAAATAAAACATCTATTGTAATTACATGCAAGATTTTTGGGGCTGACCAAGAAGAAAATTTAACTTTAAACGCGTTGAA